CAGGCGATTCCATGATCTGTTCATCCGAGAATGTCCACAGTGAAGACTCGCTGCATAATACTGAATCGCATCAGAGCGTGCAAGATGAGACCATTGCGAGAGCTGGCGTCAACATTTTACACGAAGTATTGTTATTGTGTTCATTTTTTCATTTACAGTTAATGTTTCGATAGTTCGCTTTTTTTGATCTCTGATTTATTCTTTGTTCTCCTATGTATATTGATTACCCTAGCCACCAACTGTGGATCACCTTAAGGGCTGTTTCCAACTGAATTCCCGACGGAGTGTCGGCGAGAAGGACTCGGCAAGAACAATCATGTCCACCTCTGAAGGAAAGGTGAGCAGTCACGATCATGGACCTCCTCTGATAAAATTGGCTTCTCGCCTTTTGAATTTGGAAAGAAAGGTTTGGACATAATGTCGTTTTGCTTATGCGGATTCTCTTGATACAGGTAGAAGCGACGTGATAGCTTTCCGAAACTTGTAGATAGAAGTAAGGGCTGTGTAGAGGGAGAAACTCTTACTGCGGCTGAAGTAAACGTTCGAAGCAGGATCCGCTGCGGGCTAGTTTTCATATACTAGAGCTACACCGAAATTGTTTTGCTTATGGAAAGAGAACATGTCCTTGGTTTCGAGACCGTGATGTTTTCCGCTCTACACTCTGAACACAGTTGTGGTCAGTGAAGTAGAGAAAGATGTGTGAAAATTCGCGTTTGCCAAAGTTCTACGAGTTGTGAGTGGCTACTTCACTTCTCTCGCTAGGCTGCATGATTCCGCTATCGGCAACATCGACTAAGAATATAAACGGCTCACTAAACATCTTCACGACTGCACCGAGAAGTCAGAGAGCTCTAGCGATACTAAGAAGCGTCTGTCTCTGGAAACTGTCGAGGTGATTCGCCATCGTGGAGCCGCATGAGCCATAGGCAACTGCAAGCTGACGTGCGAATTTGCGAAGCTGTGCAAAGAGACGGAAAAGAAGATCAAGGAAAGAATAACAGCGGTGCTGGTGGAAACAGCAGAAGTTGAAATCGCCAAGTGAGAGAAAAATATGATCGCCCTCCGACGTCCGGACCGAGCAATTACTGCATCCCACAGGGCGGTGGAGACGGTCATCCACGACTTCTGCTCTGATCTCTTTGACAGCCATGTATACTTGCCGACGTACCACTTGGAACGGGATGGATACCTTTAGTGCTTCTTTCAGTTCTCCCTTCCAAATCTGGCACACCAACTCGTCGGTGAAGAATTGTACGGCACCCGGTATAGACAGAATTAAGTCCGATCATCTGGAGCAGCGTTCAGCAGTACTCGCAAAAGTATCTCTCGACTCTCCACGCGCTACCTGTTGAAATGCAGGGTACCTATCATACTTCGTGGAAAACGGGCAGCACTGTGTTGTTGCACAAGAAGGAAGACCTGTACGACATTGGCGATTATCCCCTAATCTACCTGTTGTCCGTTGTCCACAATCTGTTCACACGGGTTATCCTGAACAGGATGTGAAGGACCGCCATTCGAGCAAGCAGGGTTTTGAGGAGGATTCAGCACGATCGATCACATTCACACGTTAACGAACATTCTGGATGTATCGCGAGAGTACAAGATGCCGCTGTGTCTCACCAGGAAAGGTCAACAGGTCAGCCTGGCCATTAGCAATGAGATGCACATCGTTGTACCCGTCTTGAGACGATGAACACAAAACTATCTTCAGAATTTGCGGAACGATTTTCTGAGCGGAGTTAGAGAGGTTTTTCTTTACTGTTTTTCTTCTTACGGGCGCGCTGGCGCCGAAGCCTTGGCACATGTAGCGCGACTCACAGTGCTCTTCCCGCAAAACAAGTATCATATTCGGGCTCTGTTTACCCTTTATTGCCCCAGTCATCCCAAATCCGGCCGGTTCCTGACCGACTTTTTTCTCCATGGGCAGAGTCTGCTGATTTGGGCGCCGGCGCCAAAATAATCAAAATCACCAAATTCGCTGATAGCTTGCTCCCAGTAAGCTTTTGGTCTTTCGGCCGAAAGCTCTTCAATAGGGGTAGGTAGTCGGTGGTATCACGATTCTCACACTTTTGGCGTCGGCTCAATTTGGCGTCAGACTAACGCTGAATGTCCCTTATATGGGCGCACATGGCGCTCCAATGGGAGAAGGATGTAGCTACAAATTGGCAATAAACGGCACCACAGCTAGAAGTAAGTACTATATTCGTAATCAGACTATTGATCAGCATATGAGGATAAACTTTGCAACAATCTCTTTCAATGATAAGTGGAAATTGTAGTGGTTCCACAGCACCGATTTATGGTTACTACCATTTAGAATATGCCCATAAATGGTAAATATACGATTTATATTGATGCATGGACATATATAGACGCGAGAACAGCTAAAACTAGAGAATGCAAAAACGTCGGTCCGCTAGTAATTGAACCACCAACTACAGTCAAGCGTACGTCGCGGAATCCCGAGGGAGTCGTATTCGGGCTCCTTTCCGAAGGAGGGGAGGTTGTATTCGCAGAGGTCAGAAGCAAAAGTTTTTTCAAAAAAATTATCCGAACTCGGTGAATTTAGAAATACTGCAGCTTGCAGAATGAGTAATGTCGGAAAGGGAGTCTAGTACATGGCGCATTTCACGGAGGTGTTGAACAGCGCCTCTCTGCTGCAGTTCTTATTCACCACATGAGGAGAAGGAGTACGGAGGCCTATCGAGCTTTCTTTCTAGATGTGGGCTTTGCATGTGGGGAGATTATCATGCTGCAGCTAAAGCTAACTTTTGAATGGAAATTCGTAACGGGTGGCTTTCGCTATATTCAACACAATGGCGACGAGGCGGCTTCTCGCGTGTCTGTCGCGTGGGACCAAGCAGTTTTTTCCTTATTTTAGAAGAATGCGCATAAGCTAGGGCGTTTATACACCAAAACAACTGAATAAGAACTAGAATCCAATGCAGAAACTTGTAAGGTTCTTTGTACTTTCAAGATAAACCCTAAATTTTCATGGAATACTCCCGCCTCATTCACGTAAAACGTGGGAACAAGGCCGCAAAAAATGAATGTTTTCGCTCCAGAGGTGGTAAATTGGATCCGATCCAGATCTGCTATTCTTCAGGGATACGATACCTCGTCAAATTAGCTATCTGCATGTGGGGCTTCATTCTACATATCCAAAAATTATCTTTTTTCCTAAGGAAATCTCTTTCGTTTGTCTCCTCGGTGAAATCCTTCCAATGACACAACTACATGGTTTACACCGGTGTACTCTACAATGCCTTCCTGGACAATATGTGGCTGTTGAAAATTTGAAAAGTATTCAAACTGGTTTTTTTACCCATGCCGCATCCCACTGGGACCAATGTCTCACGCGGGAAAAAAAGATGGGTCCCAGCATTGGGACGCAATGTCACCAGCGTGTTAAGCTGCAGCAAAGTTGTAGCGCTCATTAGAAAGATAGAACCTTTTTCCTCCCCGCCATGTAGAAGTCTGTTCTGAATTATGCCTTCCGGAGATATGGGCTTTGATAGGTAAAGAACACGCGTCTGACAAGAATTCGCGTTATTTTAGACATTTTCCGCCACGGGCGAATTTGTATATGAGCCACAACAAAGCTGTTGTTCTCATTCAAAAGAGAAAACCTTCTAGTTTTCAAGGAGCCTGTAGATCACTATCCCATGTTACGTATGGACGAAGTTATTTCCATTGAAAGGTGAAGATTTTGCGTTCGCTCAAAATTCTCCACGTTTTTTTCTGGCCAGAAGCCGTAATCCAAGCTTGATGGAACCTGTGGGATATTTCGTATTGAACCTGGCCGTACCACCTGAATCGTCATTACTCTGCGTAAGATGGTTTCTTAATGTAGTTACACCCTTTTAAAGACACCCGGTACGCTCACACACGTTGAAGGTGTATGCGCTATTAGCCCCCTGCCATGTGTCATTGTTTCCCCGCTCGAAACTGCACGGGGTTAGAGTACAGGAAAGGTGTGGAAAAGTCTAATTCGTCCATGCTCCGCCTACCGTTTATGCTAACAGCCGTTCCGCAACTGGTTTGATGTTCCTAGATAATCAGCTACTCATTAGGTAAGATTCGCATAACCCACATGTACAGATACGTGATAGATATGATGAGATACGTGCTGATGAACACAGACACCTCCACACACTCCACATTCGCAAAAGGGAGGGGTCGTACGGACACCCCTTTCCAGGGGGGTGGGAAAACCCCAGTTTTCCGCGACGTGGTGGTTGACCCTGTCACCAACCCCATCATCAAGAAACGAGTACGCTATCCACTAGGCAATCCCACTGCTACCGGCACATGCAGCTCCAAATGTTGAAGAAACCATTCTAAGAAACCATTCAGTAGCAGGTGATTACAGTGGTTCCCTATAAGGATCCTCTACTAGGCAACTGTTCAAAGTTGCAAGTGATTTACAGCGCGTAGAGGCTCAAAAACACTACTGGAGGCGTTTGGACTGGTTTGTATAGTGTCCGATTGAGTTGGAAATGTATCCGCTTTTGTTTGAAAAGTGTCCGACTTGTAATGAAAATCGTATAAAATTCTTCATCTGCCTGCAGTCAGTCGTCAGTCAGTCCGAACGGGCATCATGGAGGGCGAGTACACTATGTTCCCCCCTTTCGTGCATTAAACACGTTGCGGAGGTCCAAACCCTTCAATTTCCTTTCTCTTCTTTAGCTATCACAAGAATGATGAGTTGTGTGCAAAAGTCTAGACCCCACGTAGAACTCGAATCCGCACAGCTAGCTTCCCGAGCGAATGTGCTATACGTTGGCCGCCAGGGCCGCTCTTCCCCTCTCGCTCGACGGCTCTTATGCCGTAGCCTTACAGCGCGCACACATTTAACATGGTGAGTGCTGTAAGGTTGGGGGTTCGGGTTCTGCCTGCGGTCGACTTTTGCCCATAACTCAGCATTCTCGTAATAACTTTTAGAGCATGAACTGCGCCGTTAAACAGCAGTTATCATGACGGAACAACATCTTTAGTTATCATCTGTGAATGCGACCACGCCTATTGTTCTTCCAACGTCATCATCAGAGAAGGCCATCAGTCAGTGGGCACACTCGCGTGTACCTAGTGAGGAGCCACAGTGAGTATCCAGAATTGAATAGGATCAGACGCCTATAGTAATAAATGACGGTTTGTAGTGTTTTCGCTCGCTCGGGCTCATTGAAAGTTCACATTATGCCATCGAGGCCAAGTTTACCGTCGTCCGAATCGATGGCTGGGGTACAAGATTCAAAAATGGAACCACCAAAGGAGCTCGCTCCTCCTTTTTCTGACAAGGAGTCGCCGCAGAGCAGCAAGGATTCCAACTACCTGGGATCTTTCCCTGCTGGTCCGAGTGTTGAAACCATTTATGTAAGTATCTCTTGTTTGTCACCTGTCTTTGTTTTCATGGGTTCTGAACTATCCTAGTTTTCATCATCGTCAACTGCTGAGAAAAAGGCTCTTCCTCCGGAACCACCCGTGGACTACAATGACCAGCAGACGTCCAAAGGTGTGTTGGATATGTTTATAACCATAATATTTTGTTGATTCTGATGGCACTGTTGAAGAAAATGCGCCTCCAGCCTCAGTGCCCAACGGGACTGAATTCGCACCTGCATCATGGGATTTTCAAAGCGATCAAGATGGTGGACATCCTATCACGGTTGGTACAGTTTTTTCTTCAGAGTGTTTGCGAAATGCAGTCTGCATCGGAGGGCGAAGAGAGGAGTTTGTGAGTCCACGTCCTTGCAACGGAACGTGTTTCCGTTCCGATTCTCTTTTCTTACACGTACGCCTCTGCCTTTCTTTCATCGCCGTCGCCCTCACAGCCATCGCCTTAGGCGCTTGGGAAGGCGTCTTTTCCAGATGTGGCGTGTGTAGCATGAAAATTGTAAGGCGCGGCGCTAGTGGACGCAGCCGGCGACGTGCGCCACAAACGACTGATTGGCGGATTTTCAATGCCTCTGTGCCAGAGACGTTCTCAATGATAGATCTTCCCTTTCCTTTGATTGCTCTGAACAGCATCACGGCATCACTAGTAGTATTTTTTTCCAGTACATTTGCTCTTTTTTTATAATATGAAGGGCAAATATTTAGAATTCAGTCGATTATTAATAATTATAGTTTAACTCAATTCTGATTATATTGGGAGGTTATATTCCTAGCTTCTGTCGACCCCAGGGCGATGTTTCAATCCGCCGCCTCTCAGTAACTGTTTGAAATTCTTTGTCGGGTAAGGTGATTAAACAAATTTTTATGATGAAAGAAGTCCTTGTTGAAACGAAAATGCGAGGACTGTTAGAGAAACATGTAAAACGAGCACACATAACTGCAAAGCGGACTTCGACGTACGGAGGCAGGGGATCAAGGATCTGTGAGTGGGAACACATTGGAAGGCGAAAGAGATGATTTCTTTTGCCCATCAATCCCGTGGCCGAGGCTAAAAGCAGCGGAGAATATGTTTTAATTGAGACTGGATTGCCTTCTTATTTCATATTACACGAAGCAATGAATTTGAAGCAGTACTGGGCTGTTGCTATCGTTGGAAGTGAGTGATCAATTTCGCAGTGGAGGGAGCTTTGGAATAGGGTTGGCTGTTGATAACTACGCCTTTAAGCAGAATGACCACTGACGTGTAGGGGCATGGGATACTACCCAAAAAGAGACGAATAATGGGGTATTTATGAAGGCATAGAGTACAACGCAAATTCATATCCTATTACAGTAATTCAAGGCTAATTAGTGAATTGTTCTATGTAAAGTAAGAGAAGACTGATGTTTTCATTATTGTTCTAATGTTCTCACTCACTTTTGTCTCTGCCAAAAAACAATATCAATAGCTAGAACTCATTCGTTCTACCAGATTCTCCTCGTTTACATTTTGGGGTCCATATCATAAAAGGAGGAAAGCGAAAGCGGAAGCTGACTTTTTTGGGCAAAAGAAGCAATCACCTGTCTCGGCTCCTACCTAGAATGAGATGCAGTCTCTTACATTGTTGAAATCAGTTGAAGACAGCGGTTAACCCTTGTCAAGACTCTACAGTAACAGTTGTTTTTTTGTGATTTGAAATTTCAGCAAAGCAAATGGATCCATCTCACAAACTTCAGGTGACTCCATAGAATCTTTAGGAAAGCGGACCCATCTAAACTGGAGAATTATCTCTGAAAGCCTTCCATCAAGAGAAATTTGCAATCATTTGATGAGTACTGTGCATTTTTTAGTTGATGGTTTCTGTAATACTGTGGATCACAGGTATACAGGATACTGAATGCTCCAGTCGACTCCAATTGCCCGTGCAGACGTCGCTGCGCCCCCTACCACATGGTGCGTTGAGCGCGACTTTTGTGGCGCCTTGCAGCTCGTCCTGCACGTCTCCCTCAGATCTGTGCTGCGCCTGCACATTTTAAGTAATGAGAGTGAGCACCATTATAATCAGCGCCATATACATGGTAACAAAGCAGTTGTGGCACCAAAATAAATATTCAAGCTGAATAACGGTGTATTATACTTCTTGGACCTATTTATATTGGATGCTTGCAACAGAAGAAGGGCAAGGTCATTCGAATTCACCACGAATCACATCTCGAAGGCGCTTGAACTGGCCTGCTACCGTGGCACGCAGTGCTCTTTAAGGACATCCACTTTAGATTCTCTTCAGTGATCTTCTCAGAGTTTCAGCTGCGTTCCGTTCCGGGAAAACAGACTCTCTTCTCTACGATAGATCTTACACAGAAGTCCACAAGGTTGATCTAACAAATTTGTTAGTCAGCCAGAAACTCTGAGCGACTCCTGGCTTGGGCTTTCTCTTCTTTTCGAGCCGAAGCTTCATTCCTTTGAACATTCAAAGTTCTTGGATTTGACTTCCATTAACATCGATATCTTTACTTAACCATTCCAGAGCGTTATGCGTGATTCTGAGCCTTATTTGACAAAGAGACTTTTTTTTCTAGTAGCACAGATTTCAGCCGAAAGCACTCCTCTCCTTGCAAGAGGCGTCGAGCATCTTCTCATCAGTTTTCTGACTCTTACTGGCAGGCACGCTTGTGTTTTGGGAGTTGAACGTTTCTCCTCCGCCAAACAACGTTCCTCCCGTAATAATTGTGAGGTGCGTGCCAGGCAACATGAATGTGTGACATTGCTTACTCTGGAGCTTCTGCTGGTCAAGGCTGTCGCAAATTTGGGGTACCTTTTGCTCAAAACAACGAGATGGCAGAGGTGTTGAGACGAGCTGTTATTTTTCTCATGTTTCCGCGCGACGTCGGCTTGTTTTTTTACGATGTCCCCAGCAAGGGAGTTGTAGCAGAAACACAGTGGATCGAGGTATACCTTAGTCCACAATGCCAAAAGTGGTCTATGAGATTTTGAAATGACAAGCGATGATGCAGGCAAATCCTTCAGAGGTAAGCGGTTACTGAGTGGAGATGCGATGAGGACAAAATTTACAACTTTTTTGAAAGTAGAGGTGGGTGCCCAATAAGACGCATACATAAGCACAAATATGCGATGAATCAGCAGTATAACTACTGTCAACTATAAGTACCTCGAATTTTCTTTGCTGAAGCTTCGGCTATGGGTGTTACTCGGCGCCCATCACGAATATCCGCCTTCCGCGCCGGCGCCAAAATAGGCCAGGAGAACTGTGAGGGGGGGGGGACTAGCGTGGTTCCCTTTTATGCAAATGAAGTGAGTTGGATAATATCTTTTGCTTCGTTCAAATAGCTCCTTTCTTCTCAGGCTCACCTAGTTCGATTCGATGGGGGAACCACATAGTACTCAGTGGAGATTTTACAGGTCACAGTACACAGTACAGTCTTTGTCATCACAGGAATACACAGGTTTGGGGTAGAGAAAAGCATTACCTTCCCTCCTTAACCGAAAAGTGCACGTAATACTCTGACGAAATTCCTTACTTCCAGGCTTAGTACCTTTCCGCAGCTTCCTACCGGCTAATATACAGTACTCAAAAGTATTCGGTCAAACGCTTCATCGCCTATGACGTTTTTCTCAACTAACCAATTCAAATCAGATTTTAATATGTCATACTTACCATTGTTACCAATGAATAATAGTAGTCCTTGGAACATGACGCACGGCTGCAATTTATTTGCGTAGCGACTAACTTCAGTGTCCACAAGGCCACCATACTGCTCTCATTCTTCGAGTTTTGTGGAGTTCCACGACAATATTTTCACGTGCCAAAAGTGCCTTGTACTCCTTGCAATGACTTGGAAGAAGACTGGGAACCTAGAACACCGAAAAAAGTTGCCATGAAGATGAAAAATGTTTGCATAGAGATGTCCGAGACCACTTGCGTTGACTTCGCAGCCAATTTCAGTAGCATTAATTAGACAAATATTAATCCTACTCTATATAATCCGCTAAGTATGTCTGTCCGCGTGTGTGTGTATGTTTGTGTGTGCGTCTGTCTGTGTGTCACGAAATTCATAGCGCCTGTCCCAGTAGCAGTGAGACAGTGATTTCAAGAAGTGATGTACGAGGTGTGACGGGAACACTATTGGTTGGTGACAGGAAGTTATATCAGCTGATAAGATTCGATAAGGGGCTGTAGAAGGAGAAGGTCACTATAATCAAAACGCAAGTGACAGCATCAGCCTGCTCTCGATTTTAAGATATGATATAGAGGATAGTCCAAGAACATCATTAGTGGGTCACAAAGAACTGTAAGCTGCTGATAAGATTTCGATAAGGGCGTTAGAAAGGAAAAGGTTACCATATTCAGCAGAGCAGGTCCAGCAGCACTCAGCTCTTGATTTCGAGATATGATATAGGATGAGGGCCAAAAAGATTATTGGTGGGTAATAAGAACTGGTGAGCTGCTGATAAGATTCGATAAGGGACGCTAGAGTAGTGAGGTCATGCGTATTCATAGTGCAGGTCACAGTATCAGCGAGGCGTGCGTTTCAGCAAGTGATATATAGAGAGTGAATTGGAACATCAACCGTGATTGACTAGAAGCGATAACTACTGATAAGGGCTGATAATGGAGGTTGCAGTCGTCGTCGCTGTTCAAGGCGGTTCACGCTCTCAATCATAGAGATTTAGTGATGAGGACATTGATGACGGGTGACAGTAATCTTATCAATCGATAAAATTTGATCACGATACCATCTGCGCTAACCTCTCACCGCTTTAATGCCGAGTATTCGAGGCTCAGATTGTGAAAATTTCTTTTGGCCTACACTTTCCTGATAACACGTAGAAAATGAACTCATCCCACTATCCTACTCTACATAATGTCGATGTCGACGAGGGGGGGGGGGGGGGCACACAAATAGTTTATGCAACGTAATCACCCACGGGCGTACATGAGTGCATATAGCATATGAAACAAAAAATTAATACAACACCCCTACTTTTCTAAGTGAAAATAGGGGGAAAAACCAACTATCAAAATAAATTTGACTTCCCTCACCCCAAATACGACCCCCTCCCCAGAGCAAAAGTACGGCCCCCCCTCATGTGATTCACACAAGGATGCTGTACCCTGTCTGTGTGTTGTATGGCCGTGTTATGGCGCGGACCGCAAGTATGCGTTTACTATGGAACGCAGGATCCGCAAAGTTGCTCTATCTGTTATGATTGTACCAATACAGAGCTGTATGAGCAACGCAGTGATTGTGAGAGTTCCGCTCCCCATTATGGAGCGCGCCTGGCGAAGCCAGGCCAGCTCGGCGAAGCCGAGCTAAAGAGAAGGAGGAGAGCTCGGCGTCAGCC